TTACAGACCATCTCAAGAATAGATTTGACCCATTAAACACTAATGACTGAAGAACAGATGAGTTGTGGGATACCATTAAGAACATCATTCATAAAGAAAGCAAAAGGTCAGTTAAAATGAAACAAAAGAAAAAAAAAACTGAAATAAATGCAGAAGAGATTCTGAAACCTATTATTCGATGTAACATAGCTAAAGGGAAAGGAAGCAATGATAAAGAAGCTGAACAGAAAATTTCAATGTGCAACTTGAGAAGATAAACTAAAGTATTATAATGAAATGTGCTAAGAACTCGAGACATAAAATCAAAAGGGAAGAACTCGCTAAAGCTGAGAGGACTGAAGAAAAAACTCAGGTCTAGTGAGAGAATGAATATTGAAGGTTTGTATGCTCAAAACACTGAATAATGCAGGAAGCATCAAAAAGATAATGTAACAAAAAGGATTGGTTTACATTTATGTTCATCCATTTCAGGAGATAAGAAATGATCAAGAATCAGTAGTATATGGAAGGAAGAAGTCCAAGCTGCACTGAAGGCATTGATGAAAACAAGTCTCCAGGAACTGACAGAATCCCAATTGAGGTACTTCAACAAATGGATGCAGTGCTGTGCTGGAGACACTCACTCTTCTATGACAAAAATTTGGAAGACCACTATCTGTCCAACCAACTGGAAGAGATCTCTATTTGTGTCCATTCCAAAGAAAGGTGACCCAACAGAATGCAGAAATTGTTAAACAGTACCATTAATATCACAAGCAAGTAAAATTTTGCTGAAGATAATTCAAAAGTGGCTGCAGCAGTACATTGACAGAAACTGCCCGAAATTCAAGCTTAATTCAGAAGAGGACATGAAACTAGAGGTATCATTGTTGTTGTTGTTAAGTGCCGTTGAGTTGATTCTGACCCATAGCGACCCTCTATAGGGTTTCTAAGCAGCAGCTGGTGAGCTTGAACCACTGACCTTGCAGTTCAAAAAACTTTGCAGTCTGATGCATTAGCCCACAGCGCCACACCAGAACTCCAGAGGTACCATTACTGATGTCAAATGGATCTTGGGCTGAAAGCAGAGAATGCCAGAAACCTATGTTCTACTAAAAGGAGCTCTGGTAGCGTAGTGGTTATGAATCGGGCTGCTAATCTCAGAGTCAGCAGTTCAAAACCACCAGCTGTTCTGCAGGAGAAAGATGAGGCTTTCTGCTCCCATAAAGCTTTATAGCCTTGGAAACCCTGTATAGGGTCACTATGAGTTGGAACCGACTCCCAGGCATACCATCACCACCACCACCATGTGTTACTGACTATGAAAAAGCATTGAATTTTGTGGATCGTAACAAATTTTGGATAACATTTCAAAGAATGCTAATTCCAGAACACTTAATTTTGCTTATGAGTACCTGTACATAGATCAAGAGGCAATGGTTTGGACAGAACAAGAGGATACTGTGTGTTTTAAAATGAGGAAATGTATGTGTCAGGATTGTTATCTTTCATTGTTTTATTCAAACTAAATGGTGAGCAAATAATCCAAGAAGCTGGACTATATGAAGAAGAATTCAGCATCAGGATTGAAAGAAGATTTATTAACAATCTGTGATATGCAGATGACACAACCAACCTTGATTGCTGAAAGTGAAGAGAACTTGAATGAAGCACTTACTGATGAAGGTAAAAGACAACAGCCTTAAGTATGAATTGTTGTTGTTAAATGCTGTTGAGTCTGTCCCTACTCTATGTAGGATTTCCAAAGAGGAGCTGATTGGTTTGAACTGCTGACCAAGTCACTTTCTGGGCTTCCAAAGCCATACCTCAAAGGAGAGAATTGGGGGTGGTTGACCTCTGAATTTTCTAAGACTCTTTTGCTCTAAGAATCCTAAAGAGATTATGTTGAGGAAATTATCCTTGGCTTGGTCACTTAAAAAAAATTATGCTGGGTGAGTTACTGGAAAATATTAATATTAATTCACTGTAGAGATACATGTTCATTTATTTGAAACTGTATGAAACGTACTTCCAAAATGCCATCAAAATGCAGTTCAAAGCTACAAAAGACTCTTACCCACCACCTAGTGGTGGAGAAAGGAAATTTCAGCTTGGTAATACAAGATGTCCTGCCGTTTAATATGAAGAATGACTGTCAATAGCAATCTTTTATCTCGTATTTGTCTTATTCCTTCTTCACTTAAGATAGTATTATGTATACAGAAACCAATACTTTCTGACTTGTTCAGTTGATTGTACTCTTGGTGGTGATATGTGTCAGTTCCAGTTCACAGCGACCTTATAGCGGGTTTCTGAGGCTGTAGATCTTTATGGGAGCAGAAAGCCTCATTTTTCTCCCGCGTAATGGCTGGTAGTTTCGAACTGCTGACTTTGAGGTTAGCAGCTGGACTCGTAACCACTGCGCTACCAAGGGTGATGAAATACTTTGGAATTTTGAGAACTATGGATATTAAAATTTGGGGAATGGAAGGTGCCTTTCTATCCATAACCACTCAGGCCCTGTTTATGGAAAGACACGCCCTTTCCAAACGTGAGCAGATGGAACCTGCCTGGTTCAGAGAACTAAAGACAGACACTGCCATTGAAAACATGAATGTCAATAGTCAGTGAGAACCCTTGCTGTCAAGTATTTAACGACTTTGCTTTACTTACTACAGTAATTAAAATGAAGTAATCAAATTTAAATTTAAATATCTAAAAGCAAGAATGCACTGTCCTAATCTTAGGCCCCAAGGCTGGGGAAGAGACCAGAAATCTAGAGTACTGGGCGTGTGGGTAAGGAGGACTGCCCCTCCCCTTTTCTCCTTTTTCCCCTTCTCCCATAGTTTTCCTGTCTCCCTTCTCTCTTTTCACTTTGTCTCCCAAATTCTGTGTTGTTAAGTGCTGTCGAGTCGGTTCCAACTCAAAGTGACCCTGTTTATGGTTTCCAAGGAGTGGCTGGTGAGCTTGAACTTCCGACCTTGTGGTTCAAGCCGACCATGTGGTCCAGTGCTTTATCCTATAGCGACACATTAGGACTCCATATGGTGGTGGTGGTGGTAATGTGCCATGGAGTCGGTTCCGACTCATAGCGACCCTGAACAGGGTTTCCGAGGCTGTAAATCTTTACGGGAGCAGAAAGCCTCATCTTTCTCCCGCAGAACAGCTGGTAGTTTCGAACTGCTGACCCTGAGGTTCACAGCCCGATTCGTAACCACTACGCTACCAGAGCTCCTTAGGACTCCATATAGCAAATAATAATAACAATTAATTAAGATCTCCCAAATAGCAGCTAATAATTATGATCAGTATTATATTTAAAACGATGATTGTGCAAGGTGATTAAGGATTCCAGGAGGCACCCCCAAATTCCGTTCCTCAGAGAAAACATTTGAAAATTCTTTCCTAAAATCTGAAATTAAGCCACTTATCATGACTCTGGAGTCCTAGTGTTGCGCTGTAGGATAAGCACTGGACTGCTAAAAACGAGGTCGGCCGTTCAAACCCACCATACAGGCTTGCTGAGTCCGAAGTGACTTGACAGCATTAACACCAACAAGAAGACTCTGCTTTAAACGTTCTTTTGAAATACCATTCTCACCTAAGCAATTTTCTAAAATATAACATAGGTGTTCTCAATATGCCCACTTGAGAATTTTGCCTATGTTCAATCACCCTTGCTAGTAGTAGCCTAGTTTAGTTTTTTTTTTTTTCAATTTTCACGGCTTTCCCGAATGTTGGCAAATTTTCCAAGGAGTTGATAAAATTTATCCATTTCACCTTTGAAAACCTACGGATGGTGTCTTCAACACTATACAGGCATTTAATCTTAATTCTGCTTCTTGAACAGGATCCTAGGAGGAGCAATTTCGACCGAGAAGTTCAGAAAATCAGTTATCACAGAACTTGCAACAGTTGGTGTCGTGGAATAGGCAGGTTGGAAGTGATAAATGGGACTGGTTTAAAATACAACACCCGGGAAAGGAATAGACAGCTGTAGTCTTCGGGGACAGTGCGATGGCAGCGTGGGGCCCGAGGTGCAGTGGGCCGTGGGAAGGCGTCTTTCAGGGCGGTCAGAGGGGACTGAATACATAATCAAGGCCCCGGGGCACCGCAGTTTGGCGGGCCGTACCGCAGTGCGGGCGGCGCGGGCGCGCAGGCCCAGGTCAGCCCCCGGGCCACGCTGGGGCCACCGCGAGGTGAAGCTGGCCCTGCCCCCGCACCGCCCCC